TTCCTTCCTTCCTTCCTTTCTTTCTTTCTTTCTTTCTTTCTTTCTTTCTTTCTTTCTTTCTTTCTTTCTTTCTTTCGCCTGAACTCTGGGCCTGGGTGCTGTCCCTCAGCTCCTCAGCTCAAGGCTAGCGCTCTACCACTTGAGCCATAGCACCACTTCCGGCTTTTTTTTCCTGCTTATGTGGTGCTGAGGAATCGAACCCAGAGCCTCATGCATGCAAGGCAAGCACTCTACCACTGAGCCACCTTCCCAGCCCACAGATTAATTTTAAAGTGGATCTTTTGGCTCAAAGGGAAGGTGCAGAGAAGTTATTTGATTTTTTTGCTTTTTATTTTAAAATAATTTTATTAAGTGTTATACAGAATGGCTACCATTTCATGTCAGGCAATGAGTACACTCTTCTTTTTGGACAGTGTCACCCATTCCTTTACTTTCCTCCTTCCATCCCTGCCCAAGTGTTTCATGGGTTATTTTCCCGATAGTATAGGCTTGGACTTAGGGCCTGACCATTGTTCCTGACCTTTTTTTTTTTTTTTTTTTTTTGCTCAAGGCTAGTGTGCTCTGCCAATTGAGCCACACCTCCATTGCTTTTTTTTTTTTTTTTTTAGTTTATTGGGGATGAGTCTCACAAACTTGTCTGCCTAGGCTGGCTTTGAACTGTGATACTCAGATCTCAGCCTCTTGAGTAGCTAGGATTGCAGGAGTGAGCCACCCAGCTTATATTTTTTATATTATCAAAAGTTATGGTTCTAGGTACCACAGAGCTACAGCTTGGGGAAGAGCTATCCTGTTCCTGATATCACAGACTCACTTGGAAGATCCAGGCAAAACATGAGGCTACTTTAATGCAGGGAACCCCCCCCCAACCCCATACCAATGTCTCCTGAAAGACCTGGAACCCCTCATAGGTCTAATTTGTTTGTGATTTTTATGTTTTTTTGTTTTTGTTTTTGTTTTTTTGGGTCCGGTCGTGGGGCCTGAACTCTGGGCCTGGGGTCCCTCAGCTCTTCAGCTTAAGGCTAGCACTCTACCACTTGAGCCACAGCGCCACTTCCGGCTTTTTTCTTATGTGGTGCTGAGGAATCAAACCCAGGGCCTTGAGCATGCAAGGCAAGTGCTCTACCACTGAGCCACCTTCCCTGCCCCTTTATGTATGTTTTGACCCTGAGCAGCTTCAGGGAACTTGTCAAACCCACCGGAATTATTACCTATTTGCTTTACAGTTCACTAAGTTAAATCAAGGTGTTTTAGGTAGCTCAGGCTGATACTCCATCATTTAAATAAGTTGACCAGAGCTGCTTAATGCTGGTAGAAGAGCAGCAGTCCTCTTGAGAATATTTGAGAGTTTTCCTAGGAGAAATGCCAGCTACATCTAAAGGGTAAGAACAGTGCTTTCCTTGTAGGTATTTTGCTCCTAATAGACTATTTTCTCCTCTGCTTGAACCACTGCATAGCAAAACTATAGCTCCTTGGTTTCATTTGCTTTGCCTCATTCCAGTAGGGTTTCATTCCAGTGGTGTTTGCAAATGGGTTGGAAAACGGTTCACAGGGTTACTATTGGCCTCCCATGGGTTACTGGTGAGGAAACTTGTTGAAGCCACTCAGAGGACACACTGTTTCTTCCTCCGCCTGGTATAAACCATACTGTGGTTTTACTTGGAGAGTTTTGTATGGCTTGGCCTCCTTGTTTGTGAAGCTAGGGGGAATGGAAACCATAGACATATATTGGATTATTAAGTACTTCTTGGGTTTATTCATTCATCAAAGAGTTACTGAACATAGGCCTAAGAGCTAAGTGTGTGGTTCCACCTGCCTGGGAGCAGCAGCCCTCCATGTTTCTGTTCGGAAAGCCTGGGTAAGAGAAATTTAGGCACCATTTGACAAGCTTGGTTTTTGCCATTTGTCTTAAAGTTGTCCCCCAAACAAAGAAGCTTGATCCAGAAAAAGTAAGCAAGGGGCTGGGAAGGTGGCTCAGTGGTAGAGCGCTTGCCTTGCATGCATGAGGCCCTGGGTTCGATTCCTCAGCACCATATAAGCAAAAAGAAAAAAGCCGGAAGTGGCGCTATGGCTCAAGTGGTAGAGCACTAGCCTTGAGCTGAAGAGCTGAGGGACAGCGCCCAAGCCCAGAGTTAAAGCTCCACGACCAGACCCCCCCCCCAAAAAAAAAGAAAAGAAAAGAAGAAATAAGCAAGTTTCACATTTTCTTTCTTTTTTTTGAGGGGGGGGGTCCGGTTGTGGGGCCTGAACTCTGAGCCTGGGCGCTGTCCCTCAGCTCTTCAGCTCAAGGCTAGCACTCTACCATTTGAGCCACAGTGCCACTTCTGGCTTTTTTTTTTTTTTTCTGCTTACCTAGTGCTGAGGAATTGAACCTAGGGCCTCATGCATGCAAGGCAAGCGCTCTACCACTGAGCCACCTTCCCAGCCCCAGCAAGTTTCACATTTTCTTAAAACTTGGGATAAGCTGGGTACTGATGGCTCACACCTGTAATCCTACCTACTCAGGAAACTGAGATCTGAGAATCATAATTCAAAGCCAGCCCGGGCCAGAAGGTCCATGAGACTCTTCTTTCCAATAAACTTCCTCTCCCCACCTCTGTCTGTCCCCCCACCCCCCCCAAAAAAAAAGGCTGGTAGAGCTGTGGCTCAACTAGTTAGAGAGCTTGATTGTGCACAAAAGCTCAGAGACAGCACCCAGGCACTGAGTTCAAGCCCAGGACTGGCATCAAAATACAAAAAGCACTTACATTAATATCAGAGGTATAATAAATCAGACATGTACCCTACCCTCGATCTTCTTAAAAATGTAGGTGTCCTCAGTTGTAATTTCAATAACTTTGTTAGCTCTGTTTTCATTCCTTCCTCCCCTTTTGTTTTTCTTTCTGTGCTCCTAAGGGCAGGAGCAAAAGACTAGGTAAAAGAAGGCACAGTTATCCTCAGCCGAGTCCCCTGCAGAGAGCCTGGCTTTCTTGGCTTTTGGTGGCCATGGCAAGAAGTGGTAGTTGGTGAAGAGACAAAAGGCCTAGGAAGAAATAGCTCAGGGAGTGTAGTTCAGTAGTAGAGTGCTTGTCTAGCATGCAAGAAGCTCTGGATTCAATCTCTTTCTTACTGGGAGGAAAAGAAAAAGAAAAGGCTAAAAGACATAGAAGTTACAGCCAGGCTGTGAGGGTGAAATGGAAGGACTCCTGCAGGTCCACGTTGAGACTTGTTGAAAACGATAGAAGGGAGGAAGGGCTCTGAGAGCCCCAGTGTGCCAGGCTTCAGAAAAGCCGTGGGAGAACAGGGGAGGGGTCTGTGAAGCCCCTCTTTCCATTACCCACCCTCCTTACCTGCCCACCCCACAGATGATGCCCTGGGGCAAAATCCTGAAATAAGAGAGGAATGTCCTAAACTTTAAAAAACTAAAAAGAAAAAGAAAAAAAAAAAAGCAGAAATGCCTCTCCAGGAGTTCAAATAAAGTTTCCTTTTAAAAGCAAAAGACATAAACTCATCACCTTGGTTTATTACAAGTGCTTTTGAACTCTTCAGTAAAGAACACCGTAAACTCATGAGAGAAAAAAATGATTTATGACCCCCTCCTTCTAATCTTTTCAGTTCTGTAGGAGGAGGTGCAGAGAGTAGGATCAGCTAGGGAGGCAGAGTTGGGGTGAGGGTGAGCCCCCACAGGGAGCAGGTCCGGCACCAGGCCAGGGCCTGCCTCGGGCCAGGCACAGAAAATCTCTTCAGCCTTCTAGAACTCTCTTTTTCACTTCATGCAAAGAGCTGTTTTAAGTCCTCTGCTCTTCTAATAGTTGAGCTCTGGAT